TAGAATTCAATCAACATCAAGAGAGACATGGCATACATAACATCCGTCCCTACTCAACGATCAATCACTTGTAAAAAATACATGTCACACTTTGATTACCAACCTAAAATATTATTATCGTAATTGTCTTGTGTTTCGTACAGTAACTGAGATCAAATATCTGAAGGCATTCAAATGATTACATATTTATATGATAAGACATATTTCTCAATGACGGTTTCCAGTCGTAATTTCACATGAATTTTAGATATACATTTTCATCGATTCATCAATGCTGAAAGTTTATAAGAACTGATGATATGTCCAACAGGCTTTGTATTTCATTGGTTCGGTGTTTATTTATTTATTTTTCTAACTATTCACTATCATGAAATAAATTTGAATCAATGACACGACTATGAATGAAATTTCAGGAATTTAAGTTAAACCCAATGGTAATCTTATTTAATTAAGGTAAAATGTAAAATAACTGTGCCGGATCAATAACTGTAGTACTCAGAAAGTAACTATAAACTATCATTTAATTAATTATGATTAAATACGTTAAATACTCTTAGAATAATTAATGAATATGTACAGACTGACTTAGTACTATCATTGCGATTAACTCATTGGTTACTCTTTTCTGTTTTTATTCTTCTCAAAATCTTTACAAAAATTCTTTAACTCTTATTCAGTCACAATAACACTTTCATAGTTTAGTTCTGTAAAAAAATTTCATTTTTGATTTTTGATTATTCTAATTAGCCTTATTAGTCTAATGCTATTCATATCAGTGCTTGACTACTAATCAATTCGGTTATCCAAATTATTGGATTTTATCATAACGTTATTACTATTATTATGAATATCCTATTATTAATTTTCAGTGATTACTATCGGTTTTATCTTTGTATCTACTCTAATCATAAATGTTATACACACATGGTGTCCCAGACCGGCACTGATACACAAACTTCCTATAGCCAAATATATAAGCATTCATTGATATACACATATATCAATTCCTTGGAAAATGAAACCATTTCTTGACCAGTCACATGTATTTGTCATTAGAACATTTAAAGGTGATACAATGTGGTCATCTCATTTGGGGACTTTGATTAGCCTATTGTATCATTAAAAAAATTCACTTGTTTCTTGTATTCGATTACGTCATGCTTTCTCTCCCTCTCTGTTTCTTATTCCACTCAGCTTTAAACTAAAGTTTTATGAACATGGGAAATAATTCTAATTATTTTTGCACTATCGATTTCATGCATGTTACACAAACAATTAAATTTGTAAAACACTATTTATTTGTATAAATAAATGAATACAACGAAATCTGAAATGGCACATGATCTATAGAGGCATATTCGTCGACAGTAGCTCCTCGACACCAATAGATATCAAATATTTATTGTTACGAACCATGGTAGTGATGATTATGCTTTCGGTTATTCTGTTTACTCTTTCATTCTGTGTACTCATTTTAGTTTAAAAAAACACTATCTATTTGATGGCTATCCCAGATTACTAAAATACAGAATACTTCATTGATGTGAAGTGTTAACTGTTTAACAGGCTTTTCTTCTGTTTGAAACATCATGTCAACAAAGTATCCTCTTGGAAATAGTATCAACTTCACTAATCGAAATAGACACAATAGATCCCAGAACTGCAATATTACAACAATCAAAAAATCATTGCTTCTATCAACAAGGAAGTAGTGATTTCATTTAATATCTAGAATTACGTTAGGAAAAGGGGATAAATGAGTCTCAATTTAAAAGAACCGCATCAGAAAATACTCTTTATCCTTAAAAATTGATTTATGTAAATAGAATAATACTCGGACTATTTCGAATTTATTTATTAAAGATGCCATCTAAAATAAAAAAATATATGTACTAATTCTCGTTAAAAGTTTTCGTTTCTCCTCACATACACATATACAGAATAGACGTATCTTACTCGTGTGAATGAAAACTAATTTATAGTAAACACTTTCTTTTTAGTATCAGAAAGGGTTTTGTGAAGATTTTAGTAATTTCAATAGTTGAGATCATGAGTCAATTGAAGCTTGACCCCCATGGAAAACCTGAAAGCACTGAAGATCGTTTCGTCCTAGTATGGGACTCCTTAGCAGTGCTCATCCACGACCCATCGTGATCTAGCCACAATTGATTCATGATTTCAACCATTGAAACTTTCTTTTTAGTATAAATATTATCTATTTTAAATCTCTGAAATAGATTACCAATATTAATTACCGTTATTAATGGGATTGTCTGTAGAGTTAATTTAATATTGTTCTTTGTATAGTTTTGATATGGGCAAATCGATATTGCAAAGGCCATATGATTGATTTTCACCTTTATCTTCGCCACATTACCACTTAAAATTGTAGCTAGGACCTTTATAATCCTATGGTAGAGACGTCAAATTTAAACATTTGAGTTGGCACTCACGGATTCACAACATCAACTTCGGTCAATTTACGACATGCTCTGACAATCATCTAGTGTCATCGATGATAATTATTTCACCCCTAACATGTCAGAATCTCATCATCTATGAAGTTCTATTGTAATTTGGAAAAATTATATTGGATGAGCACACAATTACACATTCCATCTTTCACTCAATAAATCAATGTCTCAATCACTACAGGCCATCAATTTATACGACATTCAATACATCACTCAATCATTCAGTGCATCAGTAGCACACAACCTTCCTTTAACATTTATCCAGTGCCTTTCTCACACACCCAGACAGACAGAAAAATTTTCTCCAAAACACCACTCTTTAATTACCAACCCACTCACTCTCATCACACCTCACACTACTCTCAATTCGTCTCCTTTATTCTATGTGATCATCCACAAGGCACACACTCTCTCTTCACATTCATTTCCCACTACTCCTTCTCAACAGGTGTCCATTCCGATTCCACAAACCACTGACGTCACTTAACCAACTCACACTCACCAAATCACACCTACGATACCCACTACGGAATTCCAGTCACCAGCACCAACCACATTGCAAACACCACTGACTACACCAATGCAAACAGGTACGTATCCGATTTTCATTGCACATCGAATCAACACACAATAGCACACGTCTCACACATACTCACATTTTCAGTCTACCACTCAACAACTCGGTCGTTCACTCACTCACATACCCAATCAGTTTATCAACTACTTACATTCTCACATACTTACACATCAACACCCACGCGCAACCATCATAGAAACTCCACTAGCCTCTTACCCAACTAAACTACTCGATCACGAACAAACTGAATTCTAATCAACAGACAAATAATCGAATTACACCACTCACATGTACAACATGCACTATCCACCACTCACTAAAACCACACTCTTATATCAACTGTCTTCAAACGTGTCACGCATTCACATACAAAATGACTCAATCACTCGGTCCAATGAAAGAATACGAAAACAGTTAAATGAGGATTTATTTGACATCGAAAATAAATTAAAAATTAATATCTGAATACACTAATTTCTACATGGTTTACACTTTTTAACAGTTAGATTTGTATACATTAGCTGTGTAGTACTTGACATTAATTGACTAATAATTTACTGAGTAAACATAAAATTAACCATCTACAACCAACAGATATAATTGATATAACTACTTCTTAAAAGACGATTAAATGTCATTGATGATTGAATAAGAAGAAATCAATATCATAATTCACTGGCACTTCAATCAATTAGATCTTTGTTGATAATAACAGTTAGGCATGTCAAAGTATGATAGGTGCAGTAATTATATTTTAACAGAAATGACGATTTTCATTCTTGTTGAAATTGAATAAAACTTTTAGTGGATGTTTGATGCGCAATAGTCAATGTAAAATCCTTAGTTAATCTGTAATTCGATCTCTCTCAAACTGAAAATCTTGAGTGATTGCATGTGCATTTAGCTGACGAGTGTCGACGAGAAAGAAACTCGTGTTGTGAATGCCACTGTTAGACACTATTCAACTGGAGTAAAAACGACTGTTTTAACTACAAATGGAATCAAATTCCACCTGTTAGCCTAGCGTTCACGATTGAAAAAATGAGGTAGAATTGTATAAACTACATGCATAGATCATTCGAATTCTTAATTATATTTTACAATTAACATATATGCCTACTGAAGAAGCTTATGAAATTGATCAAGCTTTGCCGACATTCAATAGGCATCGAGGTTTGTTTTTGGTTTAATTGATAATCGTTTGGTATAAGCGTACTGTAGTGATTTTCCAGCAAATTGTGAATCTTTTATAAGCAATCGTCATTGTAAAATCCTTAGTTAATCAGTAATTTTTAAGTCTATGACCCACTAAATAAATTGTTTATCTATTTACACAACATTAAACATAAAATTATTCTAAGCCTTGCTAATGTCGTAAACCATTTATAAGACATTTCATCTAAATGTGATCGATTAATTTCACAATATTTTGTCTCTGAAGTAATATGAAACATTAAGTAGTAAAAATGTTTTTGTAAAATCTCAAAAAATGATTTGTTTAAATTCACTTGGAATTGCTTTATTTCTATTTTCCCATTGTTATTTGGGACTGTAATTGATCAGTCCCATATTAGCATATGTGAATCCTGTGAGAATTGCCTCAATATAGCCTTGAATCACAAGTTTTTTTAAAGAAAGATGAATAGTGGCTAGTAGTGGAATCCAACACCCGCGTTTCGTCCTATTTGTTCATTTTTTTTAAATATTTCAACCAATCAGCTTCTTATAATCTGACAAATAATTTGATTGGTTAATAGACCTTATAATAGGTTCAAATATATATATTTCTTCATTTGATTAACATTTTAAATTCTCAATTTCTCTTATCAGAATGTTATTTATGTTTGATAAAAATTATTTTTAAATATTTTTTCTTTTTCTAATTATTCAATTAAAACAAATTTGAGAGGAGAAAAAAATCAAAATACATTTTATTTTCAATGTTTTCAATGTTATCATTATTAATTCAACGGAATAATCATTTTAAACAATCTATTCATTTAGTTATATTTTGTTTTTTCTTATATAAATTAACAGAAACAATATTACAATATGGTACACGTATTGAAATATATAAAATTACATGTTTATCTATAATCAATTCAACAAAATTACAAAAAACTATTTGTTCCGGTGAAAATGATAATCTTATTAATAATTCTACAAAATATTCTATAGAAAATCAATTATTAAATAATGTACAAAGATTATCTGGTTATTATTTATTAACTTATCGTATTTTATTAAATTTACCAGCTACAATATCATGTTTTATTTATGGTATTTATTCAAATAAATATGGTTATAAAATTTCAATGTTAATACCATGTTTAGGTGCAATTATTGCATGTACATTATTTTCTATAAGTTTATTATTAAATAATAATTTAATAAATTATTCTATTCTATTTATATTAATTGGTGGATTTATATATGGTATATGTGGTAAAAGTAGTGCAATGACAATGGGAGCTAATAGTTATATTACTAATATAACTAATATAAATAATCGTACATCTATGCTTGGTCGTTTATTAGGTGTAAATTGTCTTGGTTTATCAATTGGTACATTATTACTTGGTATATTTTTAACATTTTTAAATTATTCTGATTCAATTATATTTTGTACAATTAATAATTTTTTCATTGTTTTAATTTTATTATTTTTGGTAATTGATTTAAAAACTAATGAAAATATACCTATATTAGATTTATCAACAAAATATACAGATTATGATAAATCAATAAATATAACAATAAATTGTACTAATTCAATCAATATAACAAATGATCATAATATAATATCATATGAATTTATTCAAATATTAATTGAACAATTTTATCAATCTTATCATTTTTTATTTCAAAAAAATTATAATGAAAAACATAAATTATTATTAATTTTATTATTTACTGTTTTATTTAATCAAATGACAAAATCTGGTGAACAAGATATTATTTTATTATATTTACGTAATGAACCAACTTTATGGACTAGTCAATTATATAGTTATTATTTAGCATGTTATTATGGTTGTATGTTTATACATTTAACTATAATTCTACCAATTATTGAACAAAAATTTATTATACATGATACAACTTTTATTTTAATTGGTTTATTTTTAAAAATTATACGTTTATTATTATTTAGTATAACTAAAGATAAACAATGGATATTTTTTGGTGCAATTATTGGTTCAGCAGCTGGTTATATCACATCTGGTATACGTTCAATAATAAGTAAATTAATATATAAAACAGAAATTGGTGCATCATTTGCATTAATATCAATATTTGAAACAATAGCAAATTTATTTGGTGGTTTATTATTTACTATTATATATAATTATACATTAAATATTATGTCATCATTTATTTTAGTATTCGATGCATTTTTACATGTATTAATATTGATTTTATTTGTATGGTTACGTTTTAAATTGATTTTATTTGAAAAAAATTCAAATTATGAACAAAATTATCAATATATTGATAATAAGACATAATATAAAAGAATTAACAACAAAAAAAACGAACAAAAAAAGAGAGAAAAATTATTGTAATTATAAAATGAAAAAATAAATTTTAAAAAAAAATAGATTCATTTTGTATTGTTTGTTTAAATCTTCCTGTTATAAGTTGTAACCTATGTGCTCTGTTAATGTATAAGGTAATGATACCGCTAATTAGAGAACAGTGAATTATCCATTGAACCAATAACGCATAAAACCCGTGTGAACAGTTTAGAGTATTTATTGGTCCTGCTTCTTGCCTAACCCAACCAGTTAAGTCCAGAACACTAAACTTAGCCTCTGCAATATGAATCATTTATTGCAAACATACTGAGTTTATATACCAACCAGACAGACCAAATCATACCATAAAATAGGAAACAACATTTGTACAAGATTTAGCCAAATATGACTGTGAATGTGAGAGGTAGTAATTAAATAACAGAGCATAATTCATGTGACTATGGACCACCGGTGAACTCGAGGAAGCTGTACGAGGCTCAGAAGGAGCCGAAGATATTCCATCTAATCACCTTTCGGAAGAATATTCTAGAATTCCTACGTGTAGCTTCCCGATTGGACAATGCTATTAACCCCCTGTATGAGGATTGGAGGACTGTAATGATGATTTCATTCTTACTAAAAACTATTAAAACCTGACAGTTTTGTAATATAATTGACACTTTTTGGAATAATATTCCTTTCATTAGTCTTCTGTCTTCTCCTTGCGACTTGGAAGGGTTTTGGCCTTCTAGTGCTCAGTTATACGCTGTATATCAGGAAAAAAACCTCCTAGATATAACAATTCAAGAATGATAAATCGCATAATAATAGTCTGTTGGTCAAAATAAATATGAATATGAATAGTTTAGTTATTTGACAATTATACGATAAATATGTACGCATAGTATTGGTTCATAAATGGATCCCAAAAGTTACCATTCATTATTTTCATCGGGATATAACACTTCCCATTAATGTTTAGGACTGTAATTGATTAATCTCTTATTAGTATATGTACATCCTGTACGAATTAGATTAAGAGCTTCCTCTTAATTTCCGACATCGCCAAAACATATTTAGCAATTTAATTTAAATAATAAATAATAAATGGTTGTTACACATCCTACCCTATTAACTAGGGAAAAGTTATTAGGTGAAAATGACAAGTGGTAATGATAAATGTGTTGTAGTTGATTTAAACTCAGTTAAAATCGAAATTTCGGGAAACTACAAAGGATAGACTATAATGCATTCTAGGTGAATATATATATTCAAATCATTTGATAAGGTAATTTTGAAACATAGAATGCTTAGTCATCATAAACATAGTCTTCTTTACATGATAGAAAACATCTCATTTAAACCCTGAAGTTCCTGTGGAAATCCTCAAGGCTATCATCGAAACTGGTTATGCGCTGGTTACTCTCTTTCTTACTTTTATTATGTAGCCTACTCTTCAAATAATTAGTTCAACGGTTTTTTGAGTTCAAATAGAATAAATTAACCATTAACTATAAAAAATCAAGTCTCCTTTCGAAAAAAGTCACAGAATCCAAGCCGATTTACTGACACGATCAGGTTGATAAAGATAACACATAAAGAACGAATATATGATTTTAAATTTATTGAAATCATATAATTCTAAAACTTTATTTGGAAGTTCATTTGTCACACGTGAGTCACCAGTTCAAAACCTTTACATTCTTTTTGTAGAGGAATCGGGATTACCTGTTAATGTCTAAACAATTTATTCAAGATTATTTTCAGTTTCATGTTACAGGAATTTTAAACATATACAACTAGAAAGATGACAACAAAGGGAGTTTAGAACAAAAGCAACAAAATGTACTATGATAGGTTTGTTATTATGTAGGTGCAAAGTTATTTTATGATTCATTGATTGGAATAAAAATTATTTAAACAGTAACAGTCTAAATGTACAATATTCGCAAGTAAAAAGATTTAATAACTATGCTCAGCAATAATAATGAATAAGCATTTAATATTTTTATAATTTCGCTAGGGGAATGAGATAAAATCACAGATGGAATAATGTTCAAGTTTGTTTTAGAGGGATTGTTAATATCGATTCTATAAAGGAAAAGGATTTCAGTGATTTTATTTCACTGACAGATTGTGACAAACCATTCCAGAGTTTCAAAAATTTACAAGTAAAGTAATATTCATATACAGATAAGATAGAGAGTTGAGGAAGCTATAACTAGGTGTTTCTGGTTTTTGGATTGTATTAGTGGGTGTAAGAGATAGTTCATTAAATATTTTAAAGAAAATGATTAGATCTAGTTGAAATCTCTGTTTTCATATAGTATCGAGCTTATTGCTTATGGATTTGTAGTTTAATGTATAATCACTCCCAAGAATGGTGTTCCACCTAGATTAGTTGATAAAGCTTTTTCTAATAAAGATTACGTAGTTTCTTCTGAAATGGATTCTGGGCTTTTCATTTTCACAAACCCACCGTGCGGATATGATTTTGTGGGGAACCGCGGAGCTCCAGGCCTTTGCTTGTATCTCGATATCGTAAAAAGAGCAAGTAAAGGATTTTTTAGGTTTACTTAGCCTAGATAGGTATATATCTATATCCGTACTAAATAACACACTCACTTTCATCCCAGTATTCCTTGGTATACATACAGGTATACCCACCCTGTGAGAAAATACGATTTACATGCACACAGGTAACACATATGCTTTATCCCATGCATCCCATGCCATATATGCACGTATATTCATCCACTTAGGATGGTAGATCTTCACCACTCCCTTGTAATCGTATTTACTAGAATGACTGTCTCTTACAAATAACATGCATATCATTCAGCATATGCAACTGGATTTGATGAGTAATGCAAAAAAATTGGTGAATTTAATTGCTTAAACACAGTAGATTTCAGCTTGTCGTATGAATTCTGTTATATCCTAGTGAAGATTAAATTACGAGTAACTTCCGAGGACTATTAATGGACTAATATTCTGTAAATATTCTTATTGTATAACTATTCAATAATTAGATTATGTATATTTATATTTCTCTTATTATAATCTTCATTTTGACCTATAATTTATTATTATACAATTTACTGTCCCTAAATTGTGCTCAGTTTATTAACTACTGTCTCCCACGTTCACAGCCAATTTTTGACTTTATTGTGTACAAATGTTATTTCCTATTTTATGATGCGTTACGGTCTGTTTGTTTGATATATAAACCCAGTATGTTTGAAATATATGATTTGCATAATGGATTCTGGTATTGGTGTTCTGTACTCAAGTGGCAAACATAGGACCAATAGTGACGCTAGGCTGCACATACCGGTCGAACGTCATTGGTTTGGCACCGTACTAAAATTTTATAAGTCGTATTTCGATTGACGAATAAATCAAATGATAAAAAACCGGACATAAAGACACAACAAATTCAAAATAAAGTGGTAAATCGTATGAATAGTTACTGATCGTTTATAGGTTTTGATCTAAGCTAGTTAAATCGTGAAGGCTAATTTCTTACGACATGTAAATGACGTAATCAATACCACGTAATCGAGTAGTGTACGCGAAGAATTGAAACTATTCAAACTGTTTTTCGTGTTTGAATTCAGTATCTTACAAAGTTTATTAGATAAATAAATAAATAAATAGAATTTTACGAATTGATAACGAAAACTCCCAACTCATCATTAAATTATGAAGACTAGGTAAAACCAATTCGAGTGCACAGTGTTCGGTAACATACAACTGCTAATTGAGATTAACAGTATATAGTTGTAGCGATTATTAAGTTTTTGATTGAACCCTTCAATGCTAGACCACCACTGAAGACCTGGAAGCCCTGAACAGCCGTTTCGTCCTACTGTGTGACTTTTCAGCAGTGCACATCCACGATTCCACCCACGGGATTCAAACCCAAGGCCTTCAGTCTCGCGCGCAAACGTTTGACCTCTCGAAGTTCTAGTGAGAGGCCGTGACCAGTGGAGCTAATCCGTGTCGGGTAGAGACAGATATCAACCTCAGTACAATAGAAGATGGTTGCGCAATTTTGTGGGTTGGTTGAGGTTAGACATTAACACTGTTCGATGCCGAATCAATGGTCCAATAGCTCAAGCGTTCACACGCAAAACTGGAGTATGTGGGTTCGAGTCCCGCGAGCGGAATCGTGGATGCGCACTGCTGAGAAGTTCCACAGTAGGACGAAACGACCGTCCAATGCTTCCAGGTTTTCAATGGTAGTCTAACATCATTCGGTTCATGATCTCAACCAAAAAATTAATATTAAATCAAACAGCGAATCAGAAAGAATGAATAAAAATATCTTGGAGAAATTCCAAAAAGAAAATTTCAGTAATATACAACACTACAAGAAAACAAAGAAGACACAATTTCAGTAGAACAACTTATCTGACTAACCAATATTTCAAGCTAAAAAATAGTTGAATATACCACCATAATTTTCATTTTCATGTCTTTTACTTCGTAATAATTTTCATAAATATCATCCATAGAAGTACGATGTTCATTGTTTCAATTATATATATTAAAACACTAAAAATATATAAAATGCTGGTAAATACTCTCTTTCTAAATAGAATTTCATTAGCAATCTTTATATTTATGATAAATTAATTTACTGTTAATAATTATAATATTTGAAACTGAAGGTTTGTTTTATTCACATTTAAAACCTTAAACTTGGATCAATATAGGTATCATTACCATGGTGTGACTTGATAATTTCGAATAAACTGAGCATTGGGTAGATTGTTATAGATAAAATTAATATATTTGTAATAACCCAATGAGTAGAGAAATTAAACTTTCTGATATTTCATAACTCCGTGTAAGTCACTTCTTCAGGGAATAAATAGCCAAACCAAAACTAATGCAAATTTAAATATTACAGACGAAAAACACAAGAATATTATGTGCGATCAATCAAAAAATAGGTCTGAACATATCAATGTCATTTCGGTCAAGGTTTGAGTATGCAGATTTTCGGCAGATGGATAGATTTAAAATTCCATTTAGATTTCTTATCACTAAGTGATCTAAAAATAGTAGCTCACCATGTTTATTTTCATTCTCGTTTGTAAATTTGATGTGCAATAAAAGTGTATTGACCCGTCTCGAAAAACATCTTAGATAAGTTTTTCCTTTTATCACAACAAAGTTATCATCTACGTATCTAAGTCTAATTCGTGGTTTATTGTCATTGGTGAAGATAATCCATCCAATGTGTACCATAAGCAGGTTGATTACAATAATATCCGAAATCGGAAGTTTGTTAAATTTCAATGGTTGAGATCATGATTGAATAAAACTAGACCACCACAGAAAACATCGAAGCATTGAACGGCAGTGTCGTATTAGTGTGGGAATCACCAGTAGTGCTCATCCAACATCCGACCTCAAGAGATTCGAAAACAGGATCCTTCAATAACATGCGCGAGCGCTTAACCACTAAACCACTGAAACAGCCAGCATCCAATGATGTCTAACGATGTCTAAATTCAACTAATACACGAAATTGAACGACATATACACCATTGTCTTCAACGAGTTACTATCTCACAACGGACACGGTTGAACTCCACTGATCATTACTTCTCACTAGAACTCCATGAAATAGCTCTTGAAGTCAGACACTAGTGAGCATATGTTGATTAATATGAGAAGAGGTTGTTTTTTTGTGAATATTATAGTAATTTTATTAATTGAGATCATGAGTCGACTGAAGCTAGATCACGATGGAAAACCTGGAAGGACTGGACGGCCGTTTCGTCCTCTTCAGCAGTGCACATTCACAATCTCGCCTCGCGAGATCTAAACCCATTTAAAACATCAAACTTTGATCAATATAATTTATTTTAATGTATTAAATCATTCAAATATACCATTATTACAGATTATACTATATGAATGCAATTATAATTCGTGAATTTTGTTTAAATTAATTAAGAAAATTAAATCATACCAAAAAATATCTTAATAATGTTGATTCCAAAAATAAAAAATAAAAAAAGATATTTATAATTGATAAGATTTAAATATAAGTTTTATATAAAATGAAAATAAAAAAAGTAATCTATTGTATCTTAATCAGAGAGTAAGAACGAATATTAGTGCAGTTCTTACTCTCTTTAAGATAATAAATGGGAACTATGTGTATGAAATCTATTGTATTGTATATGAAATTAAATGAGGTTCATTAAAACAATACCACTTTTTAAGAAGTATGCACTTGTACTAATAGTAAATTAATATTATATTAAGTAGTGTATAATTCAAAAAAGAAAAGAAAAAGTGGAACATAAAGAAAAACAAAAAAAAAAGAAATAGAAAAGTGTAAAATATAATATTTAATCATATTATGTTTAAGTATAATTAAGAATTTTGTTAATCATTATAAATATGATAAGTATTTGTACAGTTACTAAGTAATATTTCAATTCTATTAGTTACAAGTATCATTGACAATGATGATGACGATGAGGAGGAGGAGGAGGAGGAGGAGAAGGATGAAGATGAGGATGAGGATGTAATAAATGTGACTAACTATTCATTCAGTATCTATTATTTCCTTTTTGTTATAATGATAATATAATAAAAAACAATTATATAATTTAATTTGTATTTAATTCATATTCTATTAATTTATATCTTAACCATATAAATATAATAATTACTGGTATATTTAATATAACATCAAATATAAATATAAATGATGAATAATATAATAAAGTTTTATTATATATAAATATAAATAATAATCCACCAATAAAATTCGCTATAATTTCTAATATTGATATAATAGTAAAACTTATATTTAATTCATTATTATATATTACTAATTTACTTATTAATGATTTTGTACATGTTGTTATATAACATGCTGGTGAACCAATAATAGCGCTTAAAAATATAAATATTTTATTATGTAATAAACTTATCATTAATAAACGTATAATTTCAGTAAATAAACCAATGATAATTAATGTTGTATCACGTATTAAAAATTTATTCTCTATTAATGGTAATAATATAATTAATTGTATAAACATTAAACTATAATAACATGTTATGTAATAAGCATATAATTCTGTATTCCATAATAATTTAGATTGATTAATTAAATATAATAATGTTACATCTTGTTCACCAGATTTAGTGATTTGTTTTAATAATATTGTACTTAATAAGGTTAATAAATAAATATGTTTATTATTATTATTAGTAGTAGTAGTAGTGGTACGTTTGGGAAATAGAAATTCATAAGAAGATTTTAGTATAAATAAAGGTTTTAATAAATAAGAAATTATATCTTGACAATATGTTTTATGTTCTTTGTATGTATATGAGTCCGTATAGCTGGTATTATTATTATTAGTAGTAGTAGTAAGGTTATCGTTAAAATCCCTCTGTTCGACATGTGATTCATCAGATTGACTAATCACTACTTCCACTGAACGTGTTATTGGTGGTGGTGATGATGATGAATTGAACAAACATTTTTTAGAATTTTTAACCATAAATAATAAAATGATTATTATTAATAAATTACCAATCATTACAAATATAATCATTTCAAAATAACTTAAAAATCGATAAAACACACCAAGTAATAATGCACCAAGTGCTAAACCAAAAAAATTTACACCTAATAAACGTCCAATCATACATGTACGTTTTTCTTTATTACTATTTTGTGTTATATAACTATTAACACATAAATTAATTGCATTACTTTTTCCACATAATCCATATATTGTACTACCAATTAAAATAAATATAATTGAATTTTTAATTAATTTTAATTTTGTTAATAAATTAATTAAATATAATATACATGATATAATACATCCTAAACATGGTATAATCATAATATAATTTTGACTTATTTTATTGATTAATATACCATAAATTAAACATATTAACATAGCTGGTATATTTGTTAAAAGACGATATAATAATAAATACCATCCAGAAAGTTTTTGTATATTAATTTGTATAGAATATAAATCAGATTGAATATTTTTTAAATAATTCATTTTATTTTGTATTTGTATATGATTTGTTTCATTTATAATATTGGAAGTATTCATATGAATAAGAATATTATTATTAATTATTTCATATTGTTTATAATTATGATGATTATGATAATGATAATAATGAGATTGACATAATTGATAAAATGTTCTATTTAATTGATTTATTAATACTTTACATACATTTGTATAAATATTAATACGATTACCATATTGTAACAAGGATTCTGACATTTTAAATATTAAAAAACAAAATATAACAAGATTTATTGAAATAGTTTGATGATGTTTTATCCAAAATTTTCTCATTTTATTTTGTATAAAATTGAGTTGTTGAATTTCTTCCGTTTTTTTTTGTTTTTTTCTTTTGTTTTTCTTTTTTTCTTTTTTAGAAGAAAATATTAAATAAATGATAGAACAATAGGAAACAAATAGGAAAGAATTAATCAAAGGTGAATACAATATGAATATATGATGTAATCATTCTTTCACTATTTATACGTTCTTTCTTATTTATATATATCTATTGAATCATTTTAATTTATTTCTATTCAATTATAAATATCATGTTATTTAAAATGAGAACATATTTTGAATGATGCAGTAAATAAATAAATAAATAAAAGATTGTACACAGATTGTAAATAAATAAATATAAACAGGGTGGATTATTTACAATATACATTAATTTTCCGAATTTTATTGGTAAATTTTGTCCACCACCACCACCACAACAACAACAACAACAACAAAAAACGTATTTCCATAAGTGGAAAGCTATTCACTTTTATTTGTAACGAATTATGAAGTTATTTATTAAAACAATTATGAAAGATGTTAATAATGAAATTAAACATTGAATAAATATTAAATAAAAACTGTAAATTTTCATCAACTGAGATGGTTTGAACTTATGTTATGTGATTTTAAACATCAAATTAATTCAAAGTGTAATATGAAATGAAATAGATATAAATTTGTTTAAAAAAAAACAACCTTTGAGTAACTAAACCGACATGAGACATCGGTTTACAGTGGAAGTATATTAATTTCAGCAGTATATGAGATTTATCTATAAATGTTTAGATAAAGAATTATTTACTTTAAAAACAGTTTTTATTCATAAATCGTATTAAATAGAAAGTTATCGGAAATCAGATATTATTGAACATAAGATTTATCCTAGCCTAAAACCCTTTGGCAATATAATCTACTCATTTCACCTAGTGCACTGAGGTCAATATGATAGTACTATATCTTTACACCAATAATCCTCATTGACAATTTTAGTCAACTCTAAATAGATTAGAACCAATGGACAATGTTACTATGGTTTATTTACTTCAATCTTAAAATGGTTACCACCTTATAGGTCACAGCTCTTTACTAGAATTTCGAGTAAATTAAACACAGCTAATCACAAGTGGCTACACTTTTATTATTTATTTAAGTGTAAATGTGTAAAAACATATTGTTTCGTAGAATTTTAGACCAGAAATCCGAAAGCTCTTTAATCACTTGGGGACCTCAGAGTTTTCGGTGAGTATTTGGAATATCTTGAGAAAATTTGATTTCGTCACAAGTAATAATCAGTTTCTTTTTTTCTTCCAGTTCAATTTCTCTCCTACTTTTATCGATTTCTATGTAGAACCGTAAAAAATACGAAAGCATTGTTTCGTTCGTTTAGTTTGTCAAGCCGATGATATCTTGAGAACAATAAATATGGGAAAAAATCTTCTCAAGATTGTAACAGTGTACTGTGAAATTGTCAGTCAACTAAACTAGCTTTTCTTGCATATTTAGTCACCCGGGATCTGACTCAAAGTAGATCGTGTGAAATATATATATGTCACCTATCCTCATATATAATCATCGACTTAAATCGCTTTAGTCAATAAAGGAATTAAATAAGTCAAATACGAGAATGAATTTCGAATATGTATATTTCATACAATCTTTGATCTAGACAAAATATCGGAAAAGCGGAGAGAAGAGAACGAAGCGAAATAACACGCAGTAAATAATTAACATGGTCAGAATGTGACTCAAGTAGAATGAATAGATTGACCTGTCCGAAAGTTACAATAAGGTATATGGGCTTAACATAATAACCGATACTACAAATAGACCTTTTTCAAACCATGGCTAGTTAAATTTGATAATCCTTCTATATATATATTGATATTTAGTCACCTTCATGAATGAGTAGTCAATCTTTTGGAATCTATCTGTATATTGTAATCTTTTGATATAAAAACAACATAGAAAACAAAACATTTGGTAGTTGTAAACAAAATGTTTACCTTTATAGATTATTTTTTTCTTTTATTTTTTTCTCATTTCGACTATATATAACCCTGATTCGCTTATGTTAAATCCATAGATTTATTTCCACTTAAGATATTCAAAACGCTAAGCATGAAGTTAAATTGGATTTGACTGATTTTTGTGTTTAACAGATTAAGCATATATCATTCAGGCTAGTTGAAGGAAGAACATATTTGAACGTAAATATGAATATGTTTACGAGTTACAAATACTATACACAGCTGATTAAATGTTTCAGATATAAAGTGAGGTAATTAATTGAACTACAATGACATATTTATTTGACATGTTTTTTATTCAATCATAAAGTGATGGGCTGTATGTGTATGTAAGTAAAACTGGCCTCACACGTAATTGACTTTCTCCAGCTGGATTGGTTAATAACAATAGGATCGAGTACTTATGTTTTGTCCTATTTATAACTTGATTTATTCATGTTTGCACAGAGACTTGAATCCACTATTTTCCGCTTTAAAAACCAACACATTTTCCACTGAGCCTACTGAAACCATATGGTTACTAACTTATTCAACGCGTATAAATTTATGTATTCAAGGATTTAGGTTTTCCACTTGTGTATAATAAGGACTTCAATTAAACAAACTTTATTGTAATATGCGTTTTCTTAGTTGAGTGCTTGGATTTTGTTTTGAGTTACACATTTTAGTAAACCTTGAAGAGTCAAAGCAAAAGTCAGAGAAAAAGCAACCGTTTGTAGAAAATCGATTTTTCCTTCCTCTGATTTCAAGAAAAGATGATGCATTATCGGTCAGCAGAAGATCAAACCAGAGAATATCATACAGTCATTCTCGTTATCATGTAAGAAAAATAATACGTCTTCTTCAGCAATTGATGGTAGACATGTACCATTTTCACGTTAACAACAATTGTTTGTATCACACTATGTGTATCTACTAATTCGGTTATATTGGCAGAACAGAGATACGGGTCTACTTTAGATTCTACCAACATGTTCCATGAAATCATTACCATTATTGCGATTACTGAGTAACTTAGTAACAAAAGAGAACATTAACTGTATGATGATCGGGACATATTTTTCAATCTTGTGCTAAAGTTTAAAGGTAGTAATTTGGAAAATGAATACCTGGGCAATGTAGTGGAATTCTATCAAATTGTCAAAGGTTTATAAATAAGTCGTGTAATAGATTTTGATTTATCATAAATCAACCTTATTTTATGTTGTACGGATGAGATATAGAACCCGTCTGGTCATGTTCCTTTAACGATTCAGAGTTATCAAGATGTTACCGTCAAATAATCTAAGTAGTGTATTTCTGTACGACAATAATTCATCCAAATTAACCTAGTGAGGCTAACCAGGTTGAGATATCAGAATTATTATTCATGTTAATGTTTCTTTTTATAAGTAGTAGAAAATTAGGAATGATTTCACAAAAATCTAGAACCTATTTCAATCCAACTTACGGTCTGTCTCAAATTTGTAAGTTATGCACCCAAATGCCCTGGTACGGCCGAGAGTGGGGAGAGTCCGCTCTCCCTCTCCAAATGCTCTCACATGGCCACGCGTTTACAGCTTCTGAATGGCCGTTCCGTCCTATTGTGGGACTCCTCAGCAGTGCGCACCCACGATCCCGCTCGCGGGATTCGGACTCAGGGCCTTCAGTCTCGCGCTCAAACTCTTAACCTACTGGACCAATAAGCCGGCATCCAATGGTGTATTGATTTCTTATCTTCTCTTAGATGCTGATTTTCACTGTTACATCAAACTCCGTATCACACTTTCGTTTGTTCTTTTTGAACCGTATATTTTTTCTCATCATCTGTGATACGAATATGATTCGGATTCCTTTGGTATTCACCGTATTAATTTCCTCTCAATTTAATGATACCATAAGTGGCATTGCGGTTCAATGAAGATTCGTACTAGATCCTACACTTTTTAAATAATTAATTACAGCCACTTCCAAAGAAGTCCTACTCAGTACCTTCCCGCGACAGGGGTGTTGTTTACGAAATTAAGGGGACGAAAAGCGAATGTCAAGCACTTTAACCGGGTTGGTCAATATGGAGGATCCACTTCGGGGATTCGGAAAACCCTGATTCCAAACCAATGGTGCACATGGGCTCTAGGGTCCTGAGGGAACAAATAGCGTATGAACATATTGGTCGCCGGCTACCATGGGATTGCATCGCCCCCAAATGCCCTGCTACGGCCGAGAGTGGGGAGAGTCCGCCCTCCCCCTCTAAATGCTCTCACATGGCCACCCGTATATAGGCTCTGCCAGGGAAGTCCTACTCACTGCCTTCTCGTGGCATTACTGTTGTTTACGAAAATGAGAGGACGAAAAGCGAATGTCCGGCGCTATAACCGGACCCCAAATCAATGGTGCACATGGGCTAGCTCCAGTATCCTGAAGGAACAAATGGTGTATGAACCAATCGTTGGTCACCGACTACCATGGGACTGCATCTCCTTACGATGCTCCACTGCCTTGCGGATCAGACCTTCAGGTCGAAGGCTCGGGGTGTGGTCCCCTAAGAACACCACCTGCTTCGGTTTGAGCATCCGGGTAGTATCACAGCCCTCACACATACCAAGTGAGATTTGTGTGGCGCATATGTATTTGGTGCCTCCTTGTACCAATATTTATGTGTTAAAACAAAAATAATAATAAGAATTCCTTATACTAATTATAGAACTCGGTCGATTATTATTTAACTGAATTACCGAGTACATATTTATCTTCTCAACTTTCAACCCTTTAAAATCTTCAATTTGATTCTGTTACAAATTCCCACATTTTGCGACTCTTGATCCAATAAGATACGTAAGACTAAGAAAACTAGAATACATAGGATTATTTATGCCAAAGTCTGTAAATATATGTGCATAACTCATACTTACGTATACATAATACTAG